AGTATGGGCTCTGATACACACTTCCTTACTCCTAATTTCACAATGTATCTACTAGATTTTGCTGCAGCTGCTATATGAAAATGAGTTTAATCTAGGCAAAGCAAAGCAGTTATCTCACAGGTAAATAATATCTACATAGTCCCTGTAAAACCCATTAAAAAGAACTCGCCCAAATGATGCTACTTGCCATATTACAATAAAGATTTCTTGCCAGGGTGTCCACAAAGTTGGACAGACTCTTCAGTAATATTGAAGTTCACAGCAGGGGCAATTGTTTCATTTAATTTGGTGTAAAAAGGATTTGGTACATGATTAGGAAAATATTTACTACATACATTGTTCATTTTATTATAGTCTGATATATTCAGCTGAATAATATAATACATGATCTAGCTGATACTTTTTTTTAGTTCAGTGGTTTTAAACATTTTGATTAAAGGACTGTCAAACCTTTCTTAAGAAAATATAAAAAAGCCATCTTTTGCTGAGCTTCTTGTGACATACGTGTCTGAGAAGAAAGACTTTAACAATGTTACGGTTTTACAAAACTGTAATCTTTACTGTTATAACAACATTGTGTACAGCATCAAATACTCTTCCTAGTACTCTTTCTAGTAAATGCAGTATGAAATTATTATAATACACATTGCAGAGGCAATATAATTTCAGCCCACCCAATAGCTTCCTACAGATTAAGAGATCGTCCATTTCTCCTCTTTCGGTGTCTCACCTTGCTGCTGGCTGCATAAAGATCATAACGCTTCTCATATTAATGTTTTTTGACTGGGCTAAACAAGGGGTGTGAAGACCACTGATTTCAGTGCACAGGAAGACACAGGGCAGCAGAGTCAGGTAAGCAATTAGTTCAGCTTAGTTGTAACATGTAGCCTCACCTTTAGAATAATTCAATTCCATGGCAATGTATAAAAAAACCCCTATCAAATTATTTGAGAAAGAAATTAACAGGTCCTGTGCAAGTGAAAGAGCAACCTTCACCTTCAGAAACAGAAAGATTCTAAACCAACTCAGTTTTAGGAGGATTCTAAAATGACTCGAGCACACAAGCTCTCTTTATTGGCACTCTACAGTTCTACAAACACAAACCTCAACAGGGTGCTGACCTTTCCCTTGAACTGCCTGGTGTCAATGCCAGAGTGCTTTGAAAGGTCGCAGTCACTAGACAATGGGTGTTTAGGGTTACCATATGTGACATTTATTGGAAATACACTAGACTGTACAGTTTAACTGCAAGCACAGACCACAATAGACAGCTCAGCAATGTTGTTGGAAATGGTGGTTGACTTTTTTTTCTGGTTGTGGTTGGTTTGTTTTTTTTCCAAAACAAACAACTAGTTTACATTTATAGTTAACTGCTGTATGACTGAACAGGTGCTGACACTCATTGTCAGCAAGAAGAAATACTTCTCAGGTAACTTAAGCCTTTTTTAAAAAGTACCTCATTTCTATTGCTGACTGAAGAAAGTGGTATTATTTTTGTGTTCATATAGACGCAAGCTGTTTCAGTGTCTCAGTAAATTTAGGATTTTGCTTTCTTCCATGGTACCAGCTTTCACCATTTCACATGCACAAATACAAGCCTTTTACAAGTTTGTAGAGCAGATGTGTACATGGAAGCTAGACAGCTACACACCACTGAAAAGATTTAAAACCCTATAGAGCTATTCTGAGAATGCCTTGCAGGTAATGTAAAACAAAATTCTACTGCTGCTTTAGCTATCCCATGCCTGTTTACATCAAGAAGTGAAGGATGAGGTGAGTGTAATTTACAGTAAAAAAATCTTTACTAAGTCAACACCAAAATCCCATCACTGGTATGGCCAATTCTTATATCAAACCCGAGGAAAAGTAATTTTTGCATTCCTTGTTTCAACTTTTAGATACAAATCAGGTAAGCAATTTAATTGAGAAGAATCTTTCCATAGGCATATGGCTACGTCCATACAAATACCTGAGAATTCAAGAGCACTGTTTCTAGCAGATGATGCAAGTGTTCAGTCTCAACAGAAGAGGGCATTAAGCTGGCCAAGACCTCAAACTTTCAGCTACTGCAATTTAAATTCTTGGTTTTATATTACCTGTAATAGCATTTCTAGATGTAATTTGCCTTAGAAAGATGCTGTGGAGTCTTTTGGCACGTCACTCCTCCTGGCAGAAATCCTTAGCAGCTGTGCTGCAAGTACTTAAGGGTCACAGTAACACGGGAAAATAATCCAAAATTATTAAGATCATGAACAGCAAAGAAACCTAATGATTTATTACCGAAAACTTCAGGTCAACAGTGAGAACAGAAGATGTTACAGTGCCACATTAAATATTCTCCAGACCACTGAACTTTGGAGCAAAGGTGACTCACTTCTGGTCTGTTTCTCAGCAGTTTTATGTGTGAGTTTGAAGTTTTACTGATTTAAAAGCCTAAATCTGTAGATAAGGCAAAACATGAATCCATTTAGGCAAGCTGAAGCAGGCAGGGATCCACCAGAGACCACACCACTGATTTGTTCATGTTCCTTCACCTCCCTCTGCCCTTTCCTTCTTTCTGCTTGGTCCTTTAGTTTTGTCCCTACAGCTGTAGCTCCTTTCTCTTACCCACCTCCTCCCTTCCTTCTAACCACCAGAACCCACAGCTGCTCTGCACCACCTCAAGTCACACTCATTGCAGTGGCAGTGCACTCATCTATAGTGCCCTGCATTCATCGGGGCATTGCCAGCCATGACACAGCCCTGCTGTGCACCGTGAATTTGATCCATGGGAAACATGAGTTGCTGATTTAAGGAAACCACAGGAGTTAGGTATGTGTACTGAGCACAGGACAGGCAGCAACTGCCTACTGTGATGGGACAGCGCATACATTGTAATTGCTGCACGCACAGCCCCCTGCTCCCCACCAAGCAAAGCTTCCTTAGGTGCAGTCTCCTACTGGGAGAACTGTGGGTAAACAGACAAGCTGTTACGTGACTCTACAGACCCATTTTGTTCTCTTCTACTCTTAACAATAGAGAACACGAGATTCCAGGTGCAGAGAAACATTCTTTAACAGGTAAATTGTAGCATACAAGTCTCAGTCCAAGTACACTGAAAATCCTTCCACAGGATCTAGCAAACTGTGAAACCTGGCTGCTAGTTAACATGTCAGATCTGCAGAAAAGCAGAATTATTAAGAAGCAAAAAAGACCACAGCAGCTCTAAACATGTGTTTTAGGATATGCATTTCTGTAACGAAGCTACCACCTCCAGAGTCTTTCTTCACCTTCACGCCCTTCATTTTAGATTACTCACCTAGTAGTTACAAAAACCAAACAGATCAGAAAGTTTCAGGAACAAGCCAGAACTCGGGTAAGATTTTATTTAAAAAGCACCACATACAGAAAGCCATACTCCTGACAGAATGAGAAAGCAGGGATATACAAATAAAATAAAGAAAATGATCTTTCAAGATGTTGGTGAATGTCTGCAAAAATGAAACAGTAGGGTTTTTTCAGTGCAAGGGCAAACTGTGAGTTCATAGTATGCAGTCCTTAGTGCAGAAAAATTAAAATAAAAAACTGACTTTAAAATACCAATTGATGTTAATGGCTGAACAAACATGTAAAATTAATTTCAAGCACTGCATTTTTATCAGAAATGATGGTACATTTTCGCAGAAGTTTCACATACTTTTTAAATTTAAATGCTATTTCAGCTGTAATCTGTAAAAGCATTCCAAACCTCAATTATTTCAATTTAGTAAGGTAGTTTCAAAGCATCTCTTTTTAGAAAAATATTTAGAATAAATTTTTTAAAGTTACAGGTACACCTGTTTACCACCCCCCCCCCCCCCCCCACCCCGTGCAAATCTTACAGAAGACTGTGCTCCCATGTGTTTATCACTTCAAACAAGCTCTGGTTCTCTACACAGCAGACACTAGTCAATAGGCAGTTCTGATAGAACAGAAATGGCATGCAACATAGAATATGATGGGACAGGTGACACTACAGTTCTTCAAGGCTGAGAGTCTTGAAATTACTTGTAAGCTTAGAGTCAAAATTCAGAAAGCCTCTGGCACCAAAATACAAGCATCAGCTAATTCAGGGCTATGTCTTTCCATTTTTCCTTCACACTGAAGGAGCCTCATGGGACAGA